TGGAGAGTGCATTGAATGTGGAAAAACATACGGAGAGACACCCTATGAGTTTAATCAAAATAGGGATGTCTGTTCTCAAAGTGAGGAAAGTGTTCTGCAGAAAATTGACATTTTGGAGAAACCGTTTCCATATGAGTGTATGGAAGCCCTGGACAATGGAGCTGTTCTCATTGCTCACCAGAGAGCTCACATGGGGGAAAAGCCCTATGGGTGGGATGATTCTGCACCAGACTTCCTCCAGATCTCGAATTTCAGTACATATCAGAGATCACAAATGGAAATGAAGCCCTTTGAGTGCACAGAATGTGGAAAGTCCTTCTGTAAAAAGTCAAAATTCATCATACACCAGAGGGCACACACAGGAGAGAAGCCCTATGAATGTAATGTGTGTGGGAAGTCCTTTAGTCAAAAGGGAACCCTCACCGTCCATCGCAGATCACACTTAGAGGAGAAGCCCTATAAGTGTAATGAATGTGGGAAAACCTTCTGTCAGAAGTTACACCTCACGCAGCATCTGAGAACTCATTCAGGAGAGAAGCCCTACGAATGTAACGAGTGTGGGAAAACCTTCTGCCAGAAGACACATCTCACCCTACACCAGAGAAATCATTCAGGGGAGAGACCCTATCCATGTAACGAGTGTGGGAAGTCCTTCTCTCGCAAGTCAGCGCTGAATGACCACCAGAGAACACACACAGGAGAGAAGCTTTATAAATGCAATGAGTGTGGGAAGTCCTACTACCGAAAATCCACCCTTATTACACATCAGAGAACACACACTGGAGAGAAGCCCTATCAGTGCAGTGAGTGTGGGAAATTCTTCTCCCGGGTGTCATACCTCACTATACACTATAGGAGTCACTTAGAAGAGAAACCCTATGAATGTACTGAGTGTGGCAAAACCTTCAATCTAAATTCAGCCTTCATTCGGCATCGGAAGGTACACACAGAAGAGAAACTCCACGAGTGTAGTGAGTGTGGAAAGTTCTCTCAGTTGCCCTACCTTCCTGACCAACAACCAACCTGTTTAGGAGAGAAATCCTATGAGTGTAATGAGTGTGGGAAAACCTTCCATGAAGAGTCCGCCCTCAGTGGGCACCAGTCACTTCCAGAAGGGGAGAAAACCTATGAATGTAATATATGTGGAAAGTCATTCTCCGACTTGTCGTGCTACACTGTGCATTACAGAGGTCATTCAGAAGAGAAGCCCTTTGGCTGTAACGAATGTGGGAAAACCTTCTCCCATAATTCATCCCTCTTTAGACATCAGAGAGTGCACACAGGCGAGAAGCCCTATGAATGTTACGAATGTGGGAAGTTCTTCTCTCAGAAGTCGTATCTCACTATCCATCATCGGATCCATTCCGGTGAGAAGCCCTATGAATGTAGTAAGTGTGGGAAAGTCTTCTCTCGGATGTCAAACCTCACTGTACATTACCGAAGCCATTCAGGAGAGAAGCCCTATGAGTGTAACGAATGTGGGAAGGTCTTCTCTCAGAAGTCGTACCTCACTGTGCATTACAGAACTCATTCAGGAGAGAAGCCTTATGAATGTACTGAGTGTGGGAAAAAGTTCCACCACAGGTCTGCCTTCAACAGCCACCAGAGAATTCATAAAAGAGGGAATATGAATGTACTCGATGTGGAAAACCTCTGAAATCAAGCCTCAATTTTTAGAAAATGGTCTGATTATAATGAATATAGGAAATCCACTAGTGAATCAAAAGAAAAACTTTTAAAGGTTTTTTATTTCCTTTTGTAGCGCTGGGAATCAAACCCAGGACCTTGTACATGCTAGGCAAGCGTTCTATCACTTAGCTACATCCCAGCTCCAGCCTGGGAGTCAAATATTCTTCATCTGTGCATTCATGCTCCTGGTGGGGAGAAGCACTAAAGAGGGAGACCCATTTTTTAATCTGAATTTTTCAGAGAATCCCTTGGAATGCAACAAGAAACAAAGCCTCCAACAATCCTATACAACTCATGGGACACCTGATAATTTATACAGTAGTGTAATTTTATAAATATTTAATATTTATTTTAGATTCAAATGTATTGACCTATCAGGGAATCATACTAAAGAGAAATCTATCAATATGATGGATATGAGAAACATTATCTTGGAAGTTATGCTTAAGCCATATTTCTGATGTAAAAACAGGTGTTTTAGGAAAGATACAAGAAGCTATTGGTTCTGAATAAACCTTGATTATGTAAAATAAGCTTTTAAAATCAGGAGTTGATCATGAGGACAATAGTTTAAATAAATGGCACTTCCTGTCATTTTTAAAATGCAATCTAATGGTAATTCTATGCAATTTTATGCAACTTCAGATTTGAAAATTTTGTGAAAAGACAGTATTCTTACTCGAATATTGGAATGGCAGAATGTGCTAACAGCTTGTTTTATTGATGAGATGTGATAAAATAGTAAAAGTACAAAATTTTCTACTTAGAGGAATTTACAAGTGGATTTTTTTTGTGAATGAGTAGAGGAGTCACTTTTTGTGATTTTCAACTGCGCTTAAGCAAAAATGATTTTCAGAAATACTATTCTGATAAACCCTATGCCCATCATTGGGAATTCTTTAAGTCCTTTTCAGTAGAAGAGAACAGATGCTCAGCTTGTGCTCTAAGCATCCCACTCTCATCCTCCTGTTTTCTGACCCACTGATGTGAGTGTCTAGAACCAGAACACTGTAATTCAGAAATTGTACTGAATTTTATGTCATACTGTGTGGTGTCATTTTGTCTATAGCCTTTTATTCCCAATATTTTGGAACAAATTAATATGTTTCTAGCCAATGTTTTCTGCTTGATTAATGTAATGCCCTTTCTCCCCCCATTCCTTGCTGGAAGAGTTTGCTTATTTACCATTTCTCCACATGACACAGGAAATCCCAAGCAGTTTAAACAAATAATAATATATTCCATTCTGATTGCCAGCACAGTAGCCTCCACAGGGGCTGCCTTCCAAGACGGCAAGCAGATGCCTGAAACTGGGGGTGGTACCAAACCCTGTAGGTGCTGTGGTTTGCAATGGTCAGTGTAGTTACAGGTGGCTGTTAAGTGCCGGTCAGGTAGAGGATACAGCCCGGATACATTGGACAGGGATAATTCACATCCCAGGTAGGTGGGAAGATTTCATCAGCAGTACTCAGAATGGTGTGCCATCTCACCTTTATGAACTGCCTATTTCTGAAATTTTCTATTTAATGTGTGGATCATGGTTGACCCCAGATAACTAAAACTTCAGAAAGTGAAGCTTCAGGTAAGGAGGAATTACCATAATGTGATTGTTTCAGTCGTGTGACCCAATCCTGACCAACCAAGTGGAAAATGGCCACCAAATGGGTCTTTTCCCAGAATGTGGGTGATCCAGTATTTAGGAGTCACACTATTAGTTGCATGAAGAAAAGTGATTGCTGTACAGTAAACTCAAGGTACAATCAATGCCCCTTTATGATCTCAGCAAACTTGTAGACAGGAATTTAATTGGATGGAGAGTAGCTTATGCTATAACAAACAGCACACTTAATGGTGAAATGGTGAAAGTTTTCTCCCAAGATTACAGAAAACAGGAATATCCACTTTGAGTAATTTTATGTGACATTGTGCAGAAGGATCTAGCCAAGAAAATCAGAACAGCAAAGACCTAAGGATTGGAAAAGAGGTAAAATTTTTTATTGGCAGAGACTTTGCACATAGGATATTCTGTGGAATGTTTAGGTAACTGCAGTTGATGAAAATTTGAGCAAGGTCCTTGCATACAGGTCATTTTACAAAAATAAAAGATTTTTCGGTATATGAGAAAAAAGTTGAAAAATTTTTAAAGAATACCACTTTAAAAGATCCCCAAGTGCCTAAGATAAGACATTTTCAAGAACTTTAGCCAGAAAAAACTTAGGACATGGACTTAGGTATATCTTGTTCATGGGTTGCAAGACAATCAGAATTAATTCATTTTCGTTGCCATCTTAAAATCCTTTTAGGTTCTTTAATGGAAATTAATGGAAGTTAACAAACTCATTCTAAAGTATATATGAACAGTTAAAAGGCCAGTGATAGTCAATGTTATCTTATAAAATAAATCAGAGCTGGGGAATTTATCAGTCCCAGATATCAAGACCATAGAAGTCTATAGAAACTCTGGTGTGATAGTGGTACAAAGATATATTGACCAGTGGGACAGAATACAGAGGTTCCAGATACCTGACTTGACAAAGTGACATTGAGATACAGTAGGGAGAAGAGTGTTCTGTCCGGTAAATGTTTTCTCAGACTGCACAATTTGACCGAAAATAGAGATAGCAGTCTTAGATTGTGGATTTGTAAAATGTAGAGTAAAGTTATGGGGGACAAAAAGCCTGGGAGAATTTGAGGCCATTGAGTGAGCAGTTTTCTGAAGGAAGATCCAAAAAGCATTAAACCATAAGATAAGAACTGTTACTTTGGATATACTAACTAAGAACTTCTGTTTAATTAGGCACCATTTTTTTTTTGTCTTTTTTGGTGCTGGGATCAAGCCCAGGGCCTCCCTCACGCATGCCAGGCACATGTTCTACCTCTGAGCCACACCCCGGCACCTAAGCAGGCACCATTAAGAAAGTAAGTAGGAAACCACAGAGTGGTTGGACATTCCTGAAATTGATCCACTTGAGGTGGAAAAGGTATTGGCAACTTTTCCAGTAAGGAGCCAAGTGTGTTGGGATTTCTCCTGTCAGAACTGCCCGTCTTTGCAGCAATCGTAGTCTGCAACCAACCAGATGCAGTATATAAACAAATAAGATAGCTCTTTCCCAATAAAGCTTTATTCACAAGCATAGGGCAGTCAGAATCTCGCCTGCAGCTCACCATTTTCTGGTTCTTGATCTAGACTATATAAAGAACACCTACAAACCAACAAAGGACTTGGCCCACCACGTCACAAAAGATGAGACGCAAATAGCAGTAAGGAAATGCGTGTTTCAAACACCATTGTCATACTACTACCCACTAAAATGGAAAGCATGGGAAAGCATCAAGTTTTGACAAGGCTGTATGTAACAGGAATTCTGTAATGCTAGTGCAGTTGCTCACCGATAAACTATTTTGGAAAGCTGGTGCTTCAAGCTAAGTGTATACACCCTTTTACCCAGGCCAGGCAAAAGGTAAACCAAAGGACGCTTGCTGCACACGTGCACAATAAAATGAAAAAAGTTGTATATCTTGACAGCAGAATACTGTCCAGCAATGAGAATTGAGTGAACTAAATCCATGCTGATGTCACCACACTGAATGAAGAAACCCAGACACAAGTGAATGTACCATAGGATTCTATAAAAAGCATGAAGCAAGATTTGTGCAGTTAGAACTCTGTAGCATTTACTTTTGGTTAGTGCTCAAAAGGGTGTGTGTTGTGGCTGGTCATAATCTTTCTGAATCTGGGTGCTGAATACAGGAGTGTGTTCTGAGCTGTGCACTTACGTGTTTTTACGCGTGTATATTTTACTTGGATAAAAAGGTTTTTTTTCATAACAAATTGCTAACACGTGCTCAGTGCTCTTCCAACATATTTTTCTAGATGTGTGACTATGCTACACAATGGGAATTAAATGGTACTTCTGCAGGAAACTGTAGGACTTTTTACTTGCTTGAAGCTTATTTACTTGCTTGAAGCTTACCATAATGTATTAAAGTCAAGTATTTGAAAAGATTGAAGGGCCTTTTGTCATTCTACCCTTTCACTTCTATAAATGAGTCTGAACTGCCTCTTTAATAAAGAATCGAATGTGTATCATTTCACATTTGTCATACTGTTTTTCACACCTCCAAATTTGAGAGGCATCTTAACCAGTAATGCAGAGATGACCTTTCTTTGGGGTAAATAAATAAAATGGTGAGTTTGGTTTGATGAGAAGTATATTTCAAAGGTGTTCAGCTAGTTCAGCAGATGTAAAATACACCATTTTGTTTGGCAGCACTGGAGATTGAAGTCGGGGCCTGGCACTTGTCAGGCAGGTGCTGAACCATGTGAGCCGTGCCTTAATCCTTTCCTTGTTAGTTTCAGATAACTTGAGCTTTTTGCCTAGACTGCCCTTGAACCCTGATTCTCCTATTTCTGTCTTCCAAGTAGCCAAGGTTACAGGAGTAATCCCCAGGCCCAGTCCTAGATACAGTTAACAGTACAGATGTGAGGGGGGTAAAAAAGCAACTAGGACTTTGCACTCAGAAAAAATAGACCCATTTGGGGAGAGACACAGAAAGGGAGTCTAGCTGAGCTTTTAAGGGCACAGTGAGGACAAAATGGGACATTTGATGGTGCAAGCTAGGTACTTTATCTCATTTTTCTCATAGTACAAAAAGCTTTAAGTGTGAACAGATCCATTCTGCTTTGCTTACTGAAGGAGATTGTGGGTATGACTCCCCACGTTGGCCGAATATTCCCAAAGTCCTCTGTGCGTAACCACCAAGCACGGGTCAAGCAGGCCGCATTCTCCCTTCCATACCCAAAGCCTGTGCATTCATTGTGAGATCACCCTGCCTTCCTCATTTACAACTCGTCTCTTCGACATGCAAAAGGCTTCTATGCAGGACTTTTATCTGAGGCCAAAAACTCATCGTCCGGTCCTTATTCCATCCCAAATTAAGATACAGGGAAACAAGCCCTTCCAAGAGGGATGCACAGACCCCAGCCCAGTACTGTAGCAATGTTCCCCAAATGAAAAGATGTGAAAGGAAAAAGTACAGCTTCTGTCACACAACCCCTTCCTTTCACACTAGGAATTAAAGTCCTGGGGGTTCTGTCACATTGGTGAGCTCCCTTTTAACTGTCAACTTGACAGCAAAGGGCACAGAGTGAGAACATCAAAAGTCCTCCGGGAAGATACAACAGTGCTGTCCTCAGTGGAGGAAGATGTGGTTTCTGGGGACAGTGCAGAATCACTGCAAATATGGCTGGGTCGGCTTCCAAAA